GCCTCTCGACAATATGCGTTTTTGCTGGCTGTAGCTGCTATAGCGCTGCACAGCAAAAACGCATAATAACCCAGTTGTTTAGTGAGGAATTTTTTCGCCAAGACTTTTAAGGCCCTTACGTAAGGGCCACACATACCTCAAAGCTGAATTTGAAATACTTAAGTTGTACTCGAACAGGGAACATTCCCTCAAAATTTCAGCTTTCCAGCTTTTCTGATTACCGAGTTAACAATTTTCCTGCCAAAATCTTCACATATCCGTACTTAGGTACTCCACGTGCTTGGAAAGCTGAATTTGAAATTTTTAAACTGCACGTGGGCGGGGAGTATCAGCCTAAAATTTTAGCCTTCCAGTTCATCTGATTGTCGAATTAGTAATTCTTCTTCAGAAACTTTCACACGCCTTTAAGTAAGTACAATGCATAACTTGGGGCTGATTTTGAAGTATTTGAGTTGTGCTTGGATAGGGAACATTCCCTCAAAATTTCAGCTTTTTAGCTTTCCTAGTACCCGAGTTAGTAATTTCCCCTTAAAACTTTCGTACGCCCTTACGTGAGTACCATGCATAGCTTGGGGCTGAAATATTTGAGCTGTACTTCGATAGGGAACATTCCTCCAAAATTTCAGCTTTCTAGCTTTCCGAGTTAGTAATTTCCCCTCTAAAACTTTCATACGCCCTTACGTGAGTACCACGCATAACTGGAGGCTGAATTTAAAATCTTTAGCTAGTTCATGCACGAGGAATATCGCTACAAAGTCTCCGTCTCTTAGCTCGTCTGGTTCCCGAGATCGCTTTTCTGCTAAAAAACTTGCATATTTTTTTAAAGCGTCCGTATGCGGCACCCAGGCATCCGCGGGGGACGAAATTAAAATGGGAGGGTCGGGCGCTGCACAGCAAAAACGCATAAAGATGCATGGACTTCTTGAAAATGAAGCCAGACGCGTTGGAGTAACTCCCATCACATTTATTGTACACCTGCTTCCGAACCTTCAGGCAAATTACTACCCAAACAAAAAGATTTATTGCAGTTTTTCTCTGAATCCACTGATTTCACAAACTGCTCGGCTCTTGGCATCTGATACCACTCATTTAAATCCAAAAATCCACGCTTATAGCACATGCTTCTTGTAGTCATCACGAAAGATGACTGAGTGAGATTACGGAAGAATATAAATAGCCATAGTAGACGAAAAACAAAGTTCTCAAGTGAATGGAATTGTAAAGCAAACCACATCTAGTCTCGTCACTGCCGTCAGCACAGTCATAGTGCCGATTGCAGGCTTTCTCTTTAAGAATGCAGTCTCCAGAGTCGCACTTGTAATATTCGGATCCACAGTCTTCTAGTACTGACCTTTTTTCACTTCCTGGAATTTACAAATCACTGAAAGCAAAGGTTTTAGTATTGCATATGGATTAGATTTTTACAGTTTGTTTAACTCGTACAAAGTTTGGCTTGTGCCGCACAAACAAGGGGTAGAATACAATAGACATGGATAAATCTGATAGGAAGAGGAGGTGCATGAAATTTTATGCTTTTGTTTATTTATTTGTACATACATGCAGAGTTGATCTGGCATGTATTACCGACTTAAACAGACACGCATAAAACGTCACAATGATTTGCGAATGTACTGACCAAACCGGCGCGATCACGCGTTTTATTCAGTTCTGCTGTCTAAAGCTCATAGTTAAAAATGCTCATTGCGTTGCAGTTTTATGCGTTTTGCACCGCAGTGTAAAATATGAAAATAAGTAGCGTAAGCAGAGCGAAACCCAGGCTGCAACGCATCAGGCTTGCCAGTGTAATCATGGGTTTTTATGCTAAGCTTGCAGACCACTAACAACAGGAATGGTTCTGCGCTGTACTTTAACACTTAGGCTCATATTGGCTGTGTTTTGGCCTCTTCCCGCATGCAGGTGGAAAGGGCGTTGCCTGGGATGATGGTGCATTATGGGGCCGCACAGGCCTCCAGCGTGCATGATTATGAGTTATTTCATGAAGTCCGGCCGTTCTGCCGGTGAATGCTCGTTCACTGAAAAAATGCGAGCTCAAAGGAAGTCCAAAAAGGATTATGAAGTCTGCAAAATGCAGTTGTTCTCGAATTTGCAATAAAGTTGAGTATTTTTCATGTCTGCATACATGGGATTTCATCCCCAAGATGAATTAAGACCAACGTGAATATAGAATACACTTGCAAAGTTCCAGCTTCACAGCTTGCCTGGTAAGCGAAATAGCCACCTCGCTACAAATATCTTTGAAGTGCCCTGAGTCGTGGCGCAAGTGAAAATCGAAACTCAGGCTAGGTATACGATTTTTCATATGAACGACAAATACTCTGACAAAGTTTCAGCTATGGTTTTTCGGCTAGTTTTCGAGTTCGCGCAGTGCCAACTACGAAATTTGACGTGGCCGCTGCATAAGAGTGTGCTATATCTGAATTTGAAACCTTCAGCTTGCACATGCACAGAGAATATCCCTGCAGAGTTTCAGCTTTCCATCGTATTTGCGAAATCGTTCCCCGCCAAAAAAATTTGCATATTTATTTCGAGAGCCCGTACGCAGAATTCGGGTGCGTAATGAGAAAAGATTTTAAAACGAGAGGGTGACACTCGGGTTGGGAATATTTCACCAAAATTTCAGGCTCCCGGCTTTTCTGGTTGCTGAGATGAAAGTGGGTGACAAAGGTTACTCGCTTTCGGACACACACATGGACGACCTCTCGACAATATGCGTTTTTGCTTACAGCAAAAATGAAGGATTTTAAGTGAAAAGAGGAATTTTTGAATAGAAATTGCCAGGTCTTCTTGTTTTGCAAAAAAACTGGCCCAAATATGGTTAACAGTAGTTCAGCGAAAAGCATGTGGATAACTGTTAAGTGGTAAAGCACGCATACATTTGCGAATGGCGAACGTACTAGACCAGTCTGTAACACAATTTCTGTCAAAATTGCAAAAGCGTTTAGCTACCGTACTCATATCAAACAGACTGGGCCAACACTCGCTGCTGCATTGCACTTTCGATAGACGTATCTAAAGTGTCGATCAGCAAGAACACTTAACAGAATGTATTTTCGCTACTGAAAACAACAATCGTTACCAGACGGATTTACCGGTTTTTGAGAGGAAAAAGTACAGAAACAGGTGTATTTCTGAGAAGGGTGGATGAATTGTTTTGAAAAATACAGTTCTGTGAGCCACCATTTATAAGCAGTTTGACTACCTGATGCAAAAACGATCACTCATTTAACATCACTGAGGCAGAGCTAAAACGCATTAAGATGAGCCCCCATTTGCACCCGCGCATATGTGTGTCCACATATTTTATCCAGAACTACAGCAGCGAGGTAGGATGAAGCAGTGGGGTAGCAATGTTGTCGTGCAGTGGATCGAAAGTTCGACTCTGCTGATGGAGTAGCTAATCTCTCTAAGATTCGCGTCGATGATCAATTGCTATTGGCATCTATCAGGGAGTCAAACTCACCATTAGTTTGCTTGTACGCACCCTTAGAAGATAAAGTCATCGATAGGCTTGCAAGCGAGTGATTGATATTGACATTAGGCAACTTCCGGATTGAGTCCGCTTGTCATTGACAGCGAAATATCGAGGGGGGTTTGATTTCTGACTCTGACAAAAATCAACCTAATATAAGACAAACCTAAAGTCCGCTTCACATTTCCTTTTGTATCCCAACCTGCCTCCTAAATACGTGCAAAATCTACATTCAAGAAGCTGTGTAGACGACATTTTTGTGGCTTGCAAAAAATGTTCTGTTCACTTCCTGAACCCTCCTCGCGACTACTCACCGTTCCGGCCGGGAATCGCTCTGCCGACCAGTGATTACATTTGCGAATGCCTGTATGATCAATTGTACGTCCGAAATTAACGATTCTAATTGAGGTTGACTGAGAAGGAAGGGTGGGTACAGACATGTCCACATACATACATTTTCACTGGTGACAGCCTTTGCGCAGACAAAATCAGGATACTTCCCACAGACACATACACCGAATAGATGCGTGCGTCCAGATGTGTGCGCGGCTGAATGTCCCAGATTTTATCGATTCCTGCAAACGACCTTCGAGATATTGTTGATGACAACAATCGTCAGAGCATCCGGTACTACTCTGATACCTCTTTTCTGCGTTTCATCTGGACTGAAGACTAACTCCCATCTTTGGCAACGAAGAACAAATCCCTCACCGTTCATTGTTGTGTATTTCGTGTGTCTCTTGGAAGAGAGTTTTGCTTTTTGCCGCATAACGCGCCACAACTAGATGACATTGCTTTTGCGGCCACCAGAATCCTTGATTCAGTGATTTTAGTGATTCTTTTTCACAGTCTGTTCGTTTCGATAGAGAAACAGTAGTGGCAAACGTAGGATGCCCAAAAAATCAAAGTAGCATGAGTTTACGCAGCCGGAGTCTGTATGAGTCTTCACCGAATGACTCTGGAGGCTGTAGGAATTTTATAAGATTTCGAGTTGGTGCAGCAAAAATTTGTCTCCGATTGCAGATGTGCGATGGTTGCAAGTGCAAGCGCCGATGAGAAGTGCAGCACTAGGCACCGGAAAGTTCTATTCCAGTATCCCGCGTTACCAAAATTTGAGCTGCGTCTTTACATAGTTGTGGTTTGCTGTGCAGCAGCATATGCTTGGAGCGAAGTACTGATCGCCAGCAACAAGTTTGAGTTCAAATTCGGCAAACCTGCTAGCCTTCATCACTTTCCGCTAATCGGTGATCGCTTCAAGGTCTGTTGCTTCACTGAATATTTTCCAACTCAACTCACAAAGCTTGTCAGCCCAGCAGAAATAATTTTGTTTAGTAGGATAATCTTTCTGACTTTTACTTAGTAAAACTAAACGGAAAATCAATTTGAGCAAAGGTTTTTAGTTCGTTTCCCTCAGTACGCAGCCCCTCCTCATTTTATGAAAATCTAAAAGCGAACTGCAATCCTCGCAAGTGTATAATCGACTCGGTGAGGTTGCTGGAGTCAAGTGACCACACTGTTTGGAAAGCATACTTCAAATATTTACGAGTCTCATCAGTAGATGACTTAAATTTGTTGCGCCTTGTCGATAGCGCCTATTATTAGGGAACTAATTAATAAAAAGCGGCGCGCACCAGGGTAGCCGGTGCGTTCATGCGTTTCGCAGCTCTGCCTAGTGGACACCTGTCGCTAAAGATATTCTGTTACTTTTGGTGTGCGCAAAAAAAAAAAAAAACAAAATGTCGTTTAGTTCCCGAGCTACAAAATTTCCTACCGGAAAGTGCACGCTTTCGTAAGTGAAAAGCACACGTTCCTAAGAATGCTTTTGAATTTATTAGATAGCAAATGAACAGAAAAGGTCCTACAATAATTTTAAATTTCTATCTTGTCTGGTCCCCAAACTAAAAGTTATCCACCTACGTTCCCGTATCTAACGCATAAGCGTACATGAAAGCTAAATTCAGAGATCCAGAAGTATACATTGAGAGAAAATTTCAAAGCAGATTTTAAGCTTTCATTCTGCCTGTTTTCGAGGGAGAAAATTTGACAGTAAAATTTCTATGCGTCCGTTCGTGAGGAATAAGGATACATGGAAGCTAAACATAAACTTCTGGGATCACACATGGGCTTGGAATATTACAATAAAATTCCATTTATTAGCTCCCTTGGTTCCTGAATTAGTGGTTTTGCGTCAAAAATTTTACATATCCGTATGTCTTAAGCGAATCTAGGAGTTAGTTTGAAGTCTTTAGTTTGTACGTGTTTGCATATGTAAATAATCCCAAAATTTTAGCTCCCAAGCTTTTTTGGCTCCTGAGCTGAAAAGGCCGGATAACACAAAACTGATGCCGTTTCAACGCAAAGACGTGGCGAACTGTGCTTGAGATGAATTTTCAGAAAATTTCACATGATGCCGCGGAAATGAATTTCTAATAAAAAGTAGACATTGACACCTAAGAAAGCGGGCATTTCAACTGACTTAGATAATTTCACATTTTAGGACGAGTCAAACTGGGAATGGAGCCGCTGGTCACCGCTTGCTTTCTCACTGCTACCATTTTTGATAATGCACTCTGTTATCTTCAATATCGGTTCGGAACTGGTATCAGAGGACGTGCTCCAGTGCGTTACAATCATCTACTCAATCCTGTATAGCACAGCACTTTTCACAAGTTGGCTCGTTTTTGTCTCACTCCTCCAAGGGACCTTTATATTCCTTGCTACACACTATATCAGGTTAGCTATGCTTGTTTTTTTAGAAAAGCTGCGCTCAGCACTTTCAAGATATCATCAGAAATATAAATGTCTTGGCGGTTTTCAACAGAATCGCTAAATGCTTGCTAGCAGTATTTGCGAGTCAAATAAATACAGGACCATTTACTTGCTTCTAGTTATGGCCGCTCAATGTGTATGCACTTCACACTCTCATGCGGTCATTTTTTTGTGCATCTCCAACCACGATCGATATTTTGTGGAGGAGCGCCAAAAGAATGGCAACTAGAGGAACTAAAGAATTACTTAGTCAGGAGAGAACGACTGCACCTTACTCCGTATTCCTTTCTGCAAAAAAAAGAGACAGAAGGCAGAGCAGCCTACGTCAGTATTAGCAGTAGACTGACCTAGCAGGTGATGCAGCTTCGGTCGCAATAACCGCGAAATGCTGTACTGTGAAAAGCTGTACAGCAGTAAGACGATGAGAACTGGAACTGCATCAGAAAAGTTATAAACTCCTTCGCATTCATTTTCTGTGAAAGAGGAATGCACTCGACCATCGCTGAGTCGTAGCATGTGCCAAAAGTAACCACAACTGATATGAAAAATGTCGATGGTTCCCTCTTTCGAGAACTGCCAACAAAAAACCGGTGGCAGTTTTGACTTCTTGGCGTGCAACAGTATAGTTTACCACAGAGTTTAAGGCGACAACAAAAAAGACACTTTTTCGGAAAGGCATGAGCTTACTTTTGCTTCTACACGTGTTCATTTCAGCAACTGGGTTTGTTTTAATACAGTTTCATTTTCTGGAGGACTTACCAGCTCTTACAGCAGCCTGACACTGAAAAGTTGGGTATGCTGAATTACTGCCTAATTAAAACCTATCCGTTTCAGGATATGAATGTAAAGACTACAAATTTCACGAAAAAAGCAATAGACAAAGAAAGGGGATACAAGACATAGTTTTGTTATGTTTCAGGCGATGGTTCACTGTTTGGATAAGTTCATTACCTATATTATACTTTACAATGCATCGGACCTTGGATTTATCGTCAGACCCGTTCCTCGTCCTTGTCTTTGTTTCTTACACCTTGCTATCCTACATTTCTTACAATTTAGAAGCTCAGGCTGGTAGAACACGGCCCGAAGATAACACTGTTTTGAAACGCTATATTCGGATGCTTTTTTATACCTACTACCCACCATACATGATCAGTTTGGTTGTGGTCTATCCAGAATTTGAACGACAAATGCGTGAACGACGGACAAGATTTCGAGACTGGCAAAAGACTATATTTCTAGCGATCAAGATCGGATTTTGGTGGTTTTTCACGCACTTTATTCTATATTTTATGTATTTCGAGGGGATGTTATATGATTTGGACTATGCAAGAAGTTTACCAAAGAATGAATTTGTAACGCTAGGGATGGCACTGGGTTTGTAAATTTAATTTGCTATCACTTTAAAACTGACATATGGCAGCAACAACATAAAAAAGTTGATTAGCTAAGAAGCTGCTTTCTGTTTTTTTAGTAATTAGTAATTTTAATTAATCGTTTATTACCAGCATTTGTCTTAAAATGTTATTTGAACTAAAAAAAATACTTAAAAATAGTGCATAAGAAGAAAATCTGCACGAATCAAACGTAGAAAAACCCCACTCAAAACTGTTCGTAACAAATCACGTGCATCATCTTCTGATATTCCAGCACTTAAAATTCGCGTCATCAGGCAACTAGCGAAGTAAAGGTACATAGCCTCCCAAATGAAAACTAGAAAGGCTCTTGGTGAATCTCATAATTTCTCTGACTACGAATTTCAAGATCATATATGGAGAATGGCTCATAATTGGGGTTGAAAACGGAAAAAACACCCACATGAGATTTTTACAATTTATAATCGCCAGAATTACAGTGTTGTGCTTCCTCAATAAATGATCGCAAGAACGCATGACTACGTGGACTCCCGAAATACGTATCAGCATTGTATTACACTAACTTATCGATTTAGGAGTATTTTTTCACCTCAAATACGTGGTGATATTTGGTGTACCGCGGGTTTTTGCCTTGGCAGATAACATGCAGCCTGCCGACGGACCAATTTGTATTGCTCGTGTGACGCTCTATTCTAAAATTTGGCGTTGTTTCGATCGCGGACTTTACAGCTTTTTCAAAAGATATATTTTCATTCCAATATGTGCACCCACCTTCTCCGTGTCTCGAAAAATATTTGGTGTACTTGTCTCGTACGGATTTGTTTTGCTGTGGCACGGATTCTATCATCAGAATATCGTACGTTCGTCTATTCATTATAATTTCTTATTGCTAGCAAACTGGACAATGCGCAGATTGTTCTGCGTGCAATCTCCAGCTGGAGATTGTACGCAGAACAAAAGCCGAATAGCGAACGCTGACTACGATGGAAAGAGTGATTTAGAGAATAATGCTGCGTTTTTTTGACCGTGTAAGCAGTTAGGCCTTGTACCAGATGAGTGACATGCAGGATATCACCGCGACCATACGAAAAAGTAAAACGTGATGTGCAGGGCGTGTTGTTGTTCGCCATGCTGACAACTGGTGCATATTGCGCACGAGTGACATTGCTCACCGTCGGCAAGAAAAATAATTGGCCAACGCACGGGCTGTCCGTGCGAAGATGCGTTTTTTGCAGAGTTCCCCGCTGTTTTTGTCGCTACCGGCATCGGTTTTTTC